ACCGACGCCGATCGAGTTCGGCTACGGCTCCAGCATCCCCTTAATAAACGTCTATTAAATATTATTTTGCATTTATTATATGTGAATAAATACTTCACTTAATGTCATAAAAGGAAAAAGTACACGAAGAATTATTAAAAATTTATGGTACGGAAACTATAAAATCTGCACCAATTAAATATGACGATTTACAACATATGCATTATTTGGACCGAGTTATCAAGGAAACAATGAGAATTTTCCCTCCTGTCCCTCTAATTGGACGAGAAGTAACAGAAGATTTAAAACTAGGTTTGTTCACTTTTTATATACTAGCGAATATATATTGTTAATTCTTATTAGAATTACTTCTCTTTATAAATAATAAGAAAATTGAGAAATGTAGGGAAGAATGGGGTGACTACAAACACGGGGTAAACGCGAACGATATTTGTTATACTATATTAGAGATTGATATTCTTCCACTTCTCGTAATCGTATCACTGAGCGTATATCAGACTATCGTTGGGAGAAGTGGAAAAACATCACAACTCTAATATAAATGCTATAATACTTTAATATACTGCAATAGTAATCGTTCGTAATTTATCTCCTGTTTACAGTCGTACTCCACTCCTCCTTTAGACACCATAACATCTATCTTTATTTAACTTGATTTCATATTAAAAGAAACTGTACTTAAATATTTCTGTTACAAAAATATTTGATATTAATATTTTAAAAGTTACAAAAAAGATGATTTTATTCTCATTTTACTAATCGTAAGTAAGATTTGATAAATAATACAACAAAGCCATTATTCCTGTGTGCAATATCGCTTTGTCAGTTGTATGTACATATCCATTTTATAATAAATTTTAAGTTGGATTATTCATGTTATTATGCTTTTGTTGTAGAAGAAAGTACCCGATTATAAGGTACCATATCTATTTTGTGTGACTGCCGGAAGTCTATAGGCAGAATTGAAAAATATAGTAGGTCATTTTGAAGGGAATTTAATAAGCTTTAAGATGCTGAAATGTAAAATTTAATTTAAATATTAATTTTGCTGAAAATTAGAAAAATGTGAAAAATGAGCTTTCGGCAAAATAGCAAAAGTGTGCTCTTAAGGCTCCTGGTCCCTGAGCCGAGAACTCTGCGTTGACGGTGGCGCCGCCACTCTCTCCTCTCACTCTCTCCAATGGAGAATTCTGTCTTGTGACATGTTGACAACCTATTTTGTTGTGCGTGCTATTTCTTTATTATTTGCTCTGTGCTTGTGCTCTAACGTTTAACGTATTCGTGAAAGTCGTAAAATTGAGCCGAAAAGTAAGATTTGCATGCGGAAGGAACGTTTTCACCTCCTTTCGATAGTCGTTAAACAGCTGTTTTTCCCGTATGTTTAAGCTTCGTTTTATGGCTGTTTGTTTATTGTCGAGGGAAAAGGGTAGTTTTCGGCCAATTTTGGAAGTGTTCTGAAACGATCTATAGTGATGTTTTATTGAAATGTCTTTTTATTTGAAAATGGCATGCACAACAAAATTGGGTGTTTTCCTCGCCTCGATAGTAAGAATCCAATATGGCCGCGGTGACTACCCAGGAGCCTTAATATGAGAGACCCCGGGAAATCGCTAATAAAGTGCAAAATACATGATATTGCAATTAAAAAACTTCATTTAAAGTTTTTGAAAGACAAATGTAATGGAAAAGCATATTTGCAACAATCGTAAACCCACTTATACTCAATATTGTACCTAATCTTCTCCCTCCACCCTTCTCTCTCAAATCAAGGTCAGCACAGTCTTATAAATTCGTATAAACCTTCCCTTAACGTTAATATAGTATTTTCTCTTCTTTTATTACTATACAATAACTTTCATACTTCAGCAACCCAGGAGTACCCTGAGTATTTCATATTACGAGCACCACGCCTTGCGGTTTTACGATCACCAAATCAAATCTCTACAATTGAGCAACTCAACATATCCCGTATTTTCCTATTAATATGACCTTACTCTATCGCTGCATGCAGAACTTATTGCCAAATATTTATTAATTATATAATAAACAAGGTTTAAAGACTCATATCCATGGCACTTGACAACATCCAATTTTATAATTTCTTTCTCTGCAACGACTACACGCACGATCAAACAATGAATTTTCCACTAAATAGGTTTTACCCCAAGGGCAATAAGTTCATGGTGGAACCAACAGATGGGGCCTATTAGTTTAGCAGAAACCTCGTTGTCGCATATTAGGAGCCTATCTTATAATAGGAGACTTTCCTCTAATAATTTTTTTTTTAATAAAAAATACATATTTTAGGAGGAGTTACTTTACCAAAAGGCACAAATATTGTCATAGGAATTATTAAGATACATCGAAACAAAAAATATTGGCCAAATCCATTAATGTTTGACCCGGACAGATTTCTTCCAGAAAAAACAAAAAGTCAATCGTATTGTTACATGCCTTTTAGTGACGGACCAAGGAATTGCATAGGTAGTCTTAAATAAATTACAAAGTATTATAGTCAAATTAATTTATATATAATTGCAAATTTCCAGGTATGAAATACGGAATGATGTGCATGAAGGTAATCTTAGCAACGTTGGTACGAACATTCGTATTCAAAGTAAATAAAAGCGTAGAGATAGATGAAATAAAATTAAAGTTTAGCACGCTATTATCTACTGAAAAGCCTTTGAAAGTCGAAATTGAGAAACGGAATTTCCAATAAAGTAATGTAAAAATATGTGGAATATTAGAGATTATACTTTTATTCTTTTATATAATATTCTGTATTATATTATCTTGGTGCATATATTAAGTTAGCTTCAATTTAATATTTTTTACTTTGTAACATTGTAAAAGGTGAAATGTATTGAAACAATAAAATGTATTGAAGTAAACTCTTAAGATTTTTTGAATTTACCCTTTTGGTACGGAGCGACTGGGACGTGATCGTTCCTCCAGTGGCCGAAGCGTCGATTCACCAATATACGCGATTCGGCCGAGAGAGCTAGGCACTCGATGTTCAACGCCGTCAATTATTTTATGTAATAAAACTCAATAACAAAAACAATTTAAAAAATTTATCAACAGAAGAGTTTCAAGTTAACATTTCAAGTTGTTCAGCCGCAGCGTGTGAACAGTGACTATAGTCACTGCTCGGCCGCAGTGAGCAGTATAATGGATGACTATATAGTCACTCTCTGTATCGAAAGGGTTAATTCTTAACAGACGATTAATTTAGTATTTCAACTCATGACTATAATTAATGTCTTTAAAAACTGAAGGACTTTGTCATTATTCCCAACATAAATTTTGGTAATTTAACGCAAATTTTAAAAGTTATTACACATACATGTAATATTACAAAAACGTTTTTCTCTTTAACAAATTTTGCGAGATTAAAAAGTTAGTATACAATACTATATTAATATAACAATCGTAAATGGAACACGCCAATTTATACCTTTTAAGTAGTATAAGCCCGGGAAAAAATGGAAGAGATCTAAACAGATCTTATCAGATCCAATCCACTCAGATCTGGTTTGATCAAAATATTGGCCCTATCTGATCAGATCCAATCAGACATGAGTAGATCTGATCCGATCCTAGAGGATAGAGTTAGATATGTAACGAGAATAATATAACCTATTATATCTGCTCAGATCCAATCAGACATGAATAGATCTGATCCGATCCGGTGTCCATCCACTGCAGAAAATTGTTGTTTTCAAATGTTTTTTTTTAATGTGCCACTTTATTATAAAAGTGGACTCCACGATACA